AGTGGAAGGGGAGTCCTCTCCCCACACCCATTGCTGCCACGTAGGGTCCACCAAGGGGGATGCCCTCCCCATCTGTGTGAATGCACGCTTCCCTTGGCCCTTGTGGCTTCCCCCCCCCCCACTCAGTTCCCAGAACCCTGGGCAGACCCTTCCCCTCCTAGCCCCCCTCCCCTTTGCCAGGAACTCTGCAGCCTTCAGACCAGGCAGGGGTGATGATGATGATGATGGCTGTTATTCTTCTGAACGATTCCTTCAACTCCGGCCTTCTTAATGGGGCGACAGGGAGCCTCTTGCCTGTCTTTCGCCCCCACCTGCCCTCGCTCAAGGCCCCTCCATCCACCCCCACACCCCCCGCTCCCCTCTCCTGTGCCCGTGGCTGGGCTTCTTCGGCCGCTGCAGCCGTGGGTGGGAGGTATGTGGGGGGCACGGAGGGAAGAGACTCACTTTAATGGTGTCCAGGGCCAGTTCCAGCACATCGCACTGCCTGGGGCTGAGGTTCCGCGCTTCCTCCCGGACCATGTGATCCTGGAAGGGAAACCCGCAGGGTGAGCAGGGATGGGGAGGGGGCTTCTCAGGGCCCAGGAAATGAAGCACAGGAGCCGGGAAGGTGGTGGGGGGGAGAGGCTGGAGCAGCAGCAGACTTCAGCCACAGGGGGGCATAAGCAGCGGCTGGAAGGGCCTTCCTCCAGACCCCCAGGCACACGAGGGAGGGGCCCCAGGGAAACTGAGGAAAGACCTCCTTGCCCCTCATGGCTGGTGCTTCCCTCTTGGGGCCAGAGCCTGAGGGGGGTGCACCTTTCCCTAAATGTCCTTGGACGATGCTTGAGCCTCCTCGGCTGACGGCCGGATCTCAACTCCTCCTGAGCTGGGGGAGGGGGGGGGGCTGGCCAAGCCCAGTGTCCGAAAGGGCCCCCCCTGCTGTGCTGCTGCTTTCCCCTGTGCCTCTCCTGGGCTGAGCGGAAGCCTTCTGCCCAGGGAGGCCCAGCCCCACCACAAGAGCCCAGCCGTGCCAGCGATCATCTCCCCCGCAGCCCCCCAGGGCCATCATTCTGAGGTAGCCTGTGTGGATGGCTGCACTAACTTCCCTCCAGGCTGCTTGCAGGAGCCCTTGGGAGGAAATGGGGCCAAAGAGCCCAAGGATCTGCATCTGAGGCTCCCTTCATTCCTAGCCTACCCCCCCCACCCACCATCATCCCCAGTCCTTGCAGAAGGGCTTGGTCTACCAAGAACCCCCCCCTCAATTTCCCCGGCCCCCCTTTTCCCTGTGAAAGCCAACCCCCATCCGGGCCCCTAAGGCAGGGGAGGGGGGTCCGGGTGCCTCCCTTGGGGCAGGGACGATGCTGGAGGCAAGACAGTACGAACAGCCATCTGGGGCCTGGATGGGGGGCTGGTGGGACGGACAGACTCTGCCAGACATGCGACACGAGGCTCTTGTGGAAGGCTGAAGACACAGGGGGGCTGGGGGGGGGCTGGGGGCATGCATGGGGCAGCTGCTCCCCCACACCTAATACCTTCAGCTTGGATAAATGGCCCAGTTCTTTAGCGGCACTGAAAATCAGCTGGGTCCCCTGGGGAGGACGAGCAAGAGAAGGCGGAAGACAGAAGGAAGAAGATTAAAAACTCCCGAGAAACGCAGAGAAACTCTCTCCCGGCCCACCAGGAAACCGCAGCCCAACAGACACCCCCCCCTGCCCCCCCCCGGCTGCTGGAACCAGGAATCACTGCTTGGCCCAGGAGCTCCTTGGGGAGGGTGCACCAAACTCTGGGAGTAGTGTCCCCCCCCCCCAATCTCTCTGGGTTTTCTGATGTTGATTCAAGGAAAAAT